ATCTCCAGACTTGAGTCTCATCTCTTGTCCACCTCCGAGTCTTAGGGGTTAAACCTTAGGACTAACTCTCTGGCTCTACCTTAGGGTAGTCTAACCTCTGTTCTGTTTCTACTCCAGACTTCCATAGTAGCCTTACTCCATCCCCACATAAAGCCTTCCGGAGTTCCGCCGAACTCCACCGACACTAGTCCTCCGGAACTCCCCAGACTTCTGTCGGACTTCCCCTCTGTCCCCCGGAAATTAAAGGGCACATACTCGGGTAAGGGGTGCAGTGCACAAGCTGAAGCCAAAGCCCTTTGAGCAACCTCTCCCTTGAGCACAACCTTAACAGAGCCCCTTTTCTTGTATGTCTCAGTCATCTTTCTAATAATTCTGTGCACTCAGCACATAGCCTTTTGCTATGCTATACTACCCACTTAGAGTATATAAACATATGTACAATTATCTGTAGATCTTCAGTCTGAATATTACCTTTTCTAAGCCCTGCTCTCTTGCCCTTGCTCTTGGGCAAACCCCTTGACAACTCCTGCTTGCTGGCCTAGGGGATTGACTCCCTAGGTCGGCTGCCTCCTCCGCTCATCCGACTTCCCGCGCCTCCACCGCCTTTCCCATGTGTCGGACTTGTGACTAGTACTCTCATATCTCTGTCCTCTGTGTTCCCATTCTGCTTTGGACTTCGTCTGAGCAGTCTCCTCTGCTCCGCTCTTACTGTTAGCTCCAACTGCAGTAGCCCTCCGACTCTCCCCTGTAGGGCGGACCAATCTCCACCCGACGTTCCCATGCTTATCTAGTAGTCCGTCGGTCCAACGTCCTGTCGGAGCTCGTAGAACTCGAGTTGGACTACAATCCAAAATTAGGGGCATGTACTCAGGTAAGGGGTGCAGCGCATGAGCTGAAGCTAAGCCCCTCAGACTCTGTCCTACCCCTGAGCACAGTCTTAACAGAATGTAATTGTGAAAGTGTCTGATGATTGCTTGAGTCATTTGTATAATGGCCGGATGTCTGAAGAGCTGAGCAGTTGTTAGCTTGCTTAGCATTGGTAGTCAAAAAAACATGTACCGTCATGTTGGAGTCTATGTGATGATAGGTTTGAATGAGGACCTTGATGAGAGAGTATTGGTAGGCTGCAACGTCTTTGACCTGTTCCTTGATTGCAGGCAAAAGACCCCACGAGCCTAGGACAATTGCCCGCACTAAGCATTTTATCTCATTGCAGAGGTTCATGGGAACTGTCTTGAGACTTTTTAATATGCCGTGGCTGTTCTTCAATATCCAATCTGTTGCGAGGGCTAGGGAAATATGAGGCTTTTGTTCACAAAAGAAGCAAGCACATACCTTTGTGGCTGATCTGCTCTATCATGGAGCTGACGAGGGCGTCATGTACCTCAGACGCTAGTGGCGCCCTGCACAACATCATGTTTTTGTTGAATAGTGCTAACTTTAGGGTTTTGCATGCTTGATTGGAAATCACCTTCTTCAAGAGTTGTATCTTCTTGGAGGTGGTAGTGTTGAGAGGTATCTCGGACTCGGACTCGGACTTGGAGTCGTCATCAGGAAGCGTTGAAGGCCCTGCAGCAGTCGAAGGCATGGTGATCGAAGGCCCAGCAGTTGAGCAAAAAGAGTTCCATACGTTTGCATTGACTCGGGGTCTCTGGACCCTTGACGTATGCGATGTACCCTGACCAGTGGACATTAGTAAGTTTGCAACATTGTCGAGATCAAAGCTTACTCTCACAGCTTCGCTCTCAAACCCGACTTGCCAAGCTTGTGGAATGGGTGATGGCTTTGGATGCACCATCCGACTGTATGGCTGGCTGTGGGTTGATGCGTGTGCTTCGGTTGTTCAATGTCTCCAAAATGGCAGCGCTCAGAACAATTCCACCATGTGTTCAAGGTCTGTGGTGTTGGGAGGAAGATGAGGACGAGGGGCAGCAATGTTGGGGCCAGTGAAATTGAGGTTGGGTAGAGAGTCAGGGTTGGGTAGAGCATAGTTTGGGTTGGGTAGAGGAAAGTCGGGGTTGGGTAGAGTAAAGTTGGGGTTAGGCATAGCAAAGTCAGGGTAATGCGCAGAAAAATTGGCGTTGGGAGGAGGGAAGTCACTGGCGTTGAGTGGAGTAAAGTTGGGTGGCGTGAAGTTGCTGGTGTTGGATGGATTGAAGTCAGGGTTGGGGGTGGGAGAAGTAAAGGATGGGTGGGGACAAGTAAAGTACAGGTTGGGCAAGTTGAAGGAGTTGGGAGCAAAAATGTTGGAGTTGGGAGCAGCCTGAGTGAAGCGGAGGTTGGGAGCTGTAGTACTGTTGTGGTAGGGTTGCATATATGGGACATCAATGCCAAACAATGGATCAACAGAGATCGAGGTGGCATTGAAGCCCAAGTCCAGTCCAAATTGATGGTTAAAGTCGGCGGCTGCATTGGAGTATTGAGATTGCTGCTTCATGTCCATAAACAAAACACAAGAGGGAGGAAAGGCTGATGAACCTTGGCTTTTTCTTTGCCCTTGTATGAGGACATGATTATGGGGGAAAGCAAGCCTAGAAATGAAAACTCAGAAGCAGCTGGTTGATATGCTGAGACTTAGAACATGATTGAGTAAGTTTCTGGTCAAACAAATCAATTATCGAAATTGATCATATCTGATTTCATAGCAATACATACTTCAGTGCAACAAGAAATCATACCCCACATTACAAAAAGGCAACTTCAAATATTTGATTATCAGGCACTCATGGATTTGTCCTTCCCAGCAATACAAATAACTAAAATGTTGCATCAGCTGCCCACGTGCCAACTGGCTTCTATGCATCATAATATGTACCTTAACAGTTACCGGATGTATTTGAACCACAAAGGCTGTCATCAGTTTCGCTCTCGCCTCCTTTGATGATCAAAGCTTTGAGTTCCTTTGCAAGTTCCTCTTTGGATAAAATGAGTTCACACTGCTCTGCATGAGACTCAAGTTGATCGAGTTGTTCATCTACAGTGGCCAACAATGCCAAATTGTTATGGTAGACTGTCCTGTTGAAGTCGAAGTCATCTTTAATTTTTGCCAGGGACCGGTCCAATAAGAACCTCTCAAACCAGATGGCTTCGTGAGTGGCATCCAAATAACCCTCTACATTGTTACGCTGGAGCTCATGTAGGAGCTCCGCGTGGCGTTCTTCCTCCTCTATTTCCCACACAGTTAACATAACGCAGAGACACTTGATTTCACATGAGGCTTGCTTCAGCCAAAGTAGCTTTCTGAATGGCATTGTCCAACATCGATTGCAAACCATGTTTCAGGATATCCTTGCTCTACATGGCAACTTGTCAGCCAAAAATATGTTGCAAAAATCAAAACTTACTGCTTCAACTTCTATGAAAGAGGTTTCACACTGGTCATTTCTTGCAAGTGACTTTGCTGTGAAGCAAAGTTCTGCTGAAGCTAGTGCACCAGGCTTTGCGCATGGCTCAAATTTGTTACCATCTTGTGTGCATCTAGCCAATTGACGTATGATGGCATTTGGCAGATAAGAAGGAGATGAATCTATAAGGGAATCAATCATAGCACTGAGGGCCATGACCCTTAGAAACTTGTCATGTAAGGTCGCCAGTAGTAGCCCGCCAAATAGCCCATCTTTTTGCAATATTGCCCATGGCCCTCGGGATCTGCAAGTTCAGTTACCAGTGAAAACTTAGAGTCTAGACAATTTTCAGCTTACATGCTCATGGCTCTCCTGATGATAGCGTGAAGGTGAGCTCTTACTACCAGGGCTCGGTGTCTTTGTACGACTGAGTTTCATGCTAGTCGCAAAATTGGTAGCTGCAGAGAGTAGTGGGACTACATCAGCTAATATCAGTAGCCTTCAGAGTTTGAATGACTTAGCTGTTTGTAATGATCTTACTAGTTGCTACTACTAGTAGTATTCTCCTGTCAGAAGTCTTGGGTGATTAGTGATGAAGATAGCTCACAACGTCACGGTTGGGGCCTGGGAGGTGAGTTCTATGGTCTTACCTCTTGGACGATGATTCCCTCCAACATTCTGAGCTCTCTAATAATCTGAGTCGTTCGAGTGACTCATCCTGTCATATACCTGATCCAACCGCTCCGATACTAATATCCACTCCACCTTCTGACCACCTCCGCTCCATCCATCCTCTGCTCCATCCAATCACCATCCGCATCCACTCCTATGCTTCCGCTCAACTGCCCAACCGGTCCCCTTCCATAATGTCTCCATTCAACTGGAACCTCTTTCCCCTTTTAGATATATACTTTCCCCTTCAGTACATAGACCCTTACTTCCGGATCACCAGTAATTCCTCTTACCGCTTGGTCACTGATCCAACATGTACATATTGATATCTGCTCTGACTTATGTCTTCGCCTGTGTATGTACTTACAAATTATATCCTTAGTACATAGCCTTACAACATAGTAATCCTGATCACTGCCTCATACTTAGAAGTATATAACATATCCTGTATTTAGATATTTTCCTCAGTCTTAATATTACTTGTCTTCTTGCAGTTACTACTTGTGAGAATTCTCAGTAGGACCTTGCCTTCTCTGGACACAAGTTTCATCCTGTTGTCACCTCCAACCCTCCGCTCCAACTTAGAGCCGTGCTCTAAGTCTTCTCCTTACTTCCCCGCTCCTATCAAGCATTCCCCCCGCTCCTTTTCACCCTCTGCATTATCCTCTGCCTTCCCTGCTCCTATCAAGTATTCCCCTGCTCCTTTCCACCTTCCGCATTATCCTCCGCCTCCTCTGCTCTGCTCCTAGTCGGCCCACCGCTAGTAGCACTTACCTCCCGACCCTCAAAGCAGACCTAAGTGGTCCACTCGTCCTACCATCGGACAACATCGGACCTGCTCCAAATTTGGGGCACATACTCAGCTAAGGGCGCAGCACAAGAGCTGAAGCCAAGCCCTGACCCCTCTGCTTCCTGAGCCAGCACAGTACCTAACACATCCGTGTTTTCCAAAAGTTGCAGGTGCCAAGTGTTAGTGAGTTCTTACCTCTTCAAGAATAGCAAAATTTTGATATGTCTGAAGTTTAGGCATTCGTACTCAATGAAGTGGATGATGACTCAGGCATGCGGGACCAGGATGGCCTGACCATGACTGTTTTCAAGTTGTGATTGAATTGAAAAAGCACTGACTCAGCGCACATTGCCTGTTTAGTGGCGCTTAGTAACTTAAAGCATCACCCTCGATCTGTTACAATTGGTTACCATAATGATTTAGTCAGCCTTCAAAGGGGGGAGGGAGCTCTTTACTAGCCTCAACTTGAAGGCTAGTTTCAACTTCCTAACAGGGCTTCCGGGATTCTTGCCGCAATTTTGTGTTCGTGGCACTCACTGGTAGGCTGTAGTAAGAGGTGATATACTGTTCAAGTTGGTTAGTAGTATGATCTCAGCCTAACTTGAACTCAAATGTCACCTCATTCTTGCTTGAATTGAACTGGCAGCTACTCATACTACCATTATATCAGGTGGCCACAGTATTACTTTCTGCAACTTCAATTCATGTCCGAGTCATTGGCAAGGCTGGGCAACCACACGGGCCATTCATTCTTGAACAATTGGTAAAAGCTTACTACTTCTACAACTACTAGTATTTCACCTCGAGTTTAACTTGAAGACTCAGAAATCCCTTGTGATAGTAGGCTCAAAGTGGCTCAACTCAACTTACCATTCGGATCAAACACTATCATATTTTCAGCCTTAGTTCCCTGTCTCATGATCTGCCAGTGAGTCATACAACTCACATCTCAAGTTTGCAATGCCTGAGGACTCTAAATTGCTGTCAGATGAAGTTCAACAGCCGGTGATCAAGATCTGACTTCATGGAACATTAAGCACCCTTGCTCTTCTCTGTATTTCTTTTATTGATGTGTTACAATTGCTGAAAGAAAAGAGCATAAAGTGTCCATCAACGATCTGATCGGCAGGGTGACTGACGGGAGCATCATAAAACCCTGGTGCCATACGTAAATATGCATTTATGGTGATCACCTCTAAGACAATGCTACCAGGCGGCAGGGCCTTTGAGACTAATGGAAGTACCATAAAACCAGGTGTGTGTGTGTGTGTTGGTATGTAAACATCATTTATCATTAAGATCATGCTCTAGTGAACATTGAACATATATAAAGAGCTGTTTCAAGTTACCGCTTGATAGCTTTCTTCACTTCACCTCACTCTTTCACTATGTGTCGACCGTCCTTTCTCCCTTTCCTTCCCTTCCTCTCACTCCTCCACGTCATGGCATCTCCCAATTCTAATGCTTCCGAGTCCCAGTCAGCGTCCGACAGTGTTGGGCTTTCACAACATACACCATCAGTATCTGGAGCTGGGGCCTTGCCTACCACTGCTGACACAAGGGCCAAGCATCGCATTGCTGCCTTAGAAGATGAGCTGGAGATTATGCAGCAAGAGAGGGGAATGAAGCAGAGGTAAGTGTACTGTTTTATTCATTACCCTTAGGCCAGCATTGATTTATTCTTTAAAAGAAAAACAACCTACTACATTGCACAAGGTAGGGAAATTTGTCGCCTGGTTACCCTTTACGCCACCTTGGAAGACTTGATTTCTGAGAATGATTGCTGGTACAAGAATCAATTGGGGGATGCGGCCATGCCAGCATAGGTGGTCAACTGCATTGTTATACCATATGTTCATCCCATAATAAACCCAGGCAAGATTGCATGCAATGTGGCTACATCAAACTCTCGTGGACGCTGCCATGGCTGCACAGGAAGTTGGGGACCCTTGAGCATGAAGATTGTGAAGATATGTTGAAAAAGGTCTCATCAGTCATAAACAAAATCCCATTGCGTGCTGATCATTTTATAGCTCAAGAAAGGAGCCGACGCAGCTCGTGGGGACAATACCTCCTGCCTTAAAGATCTGGTAGCTGCCTGGGTCAATCAAGAATTTCGCCCTTCTCCTCTGATCAAACCTGATGACAAGCATTTGCGCGGCTTTGTGAGCAATGTTTGTGGGAAGCTACTTTGCCCTGCAGACTGGGACTGGGATCAAAATCGGTGAGCAAAGTTAACCTTTCCAGACTATCAAATGATGCTGATGCCAGTCCAGCATCAAGGTCGACATTTGCAACAGAATGTCAGAGTGCATCGTCTCAGAAAACTCTTGGCCATTGTTCTTGTATGAAAACTACACAGTCAACTGTGAGAACCTTGAGGAAGGGCTCTTCAAGTCCAAGCTTCTAGTTCAGGTGAGTGACTTGGGAACCCGCTCACAATGACATCTTCCTCTTTGCATTACAGGCTTTTAAAGCCATCTTTACATCTCCTTCCTCTGCAAAGGAAGCCAAAGGTGATGGTGACGGAGCTGACATCCTGGAGAACAACAGGCACACCCAATGGAAATCGGATCAGGCAAAGGTCAAAACTTGCATTGCCTCGATCATCAACATGAAAAAAGTTACCTCTCGTGCTATTGCCTATGTTGTTTGTCAAGTAAGTAAATATTAATAGCTACCATGTTGACGTCCGGCCTCTAACCTTTGAGCGGCAGGTTCATTTTGCTTTATCAAACATGTCATCTTGGCACACTGTTGATGGGGACTTTGACTATGAAGGGTTCTGGAACAACATTGTAGACTTTTTTGAGGACATCCCCGGCTCTATCACAAAACATAGGGTGGATAAGCTTCTGGAATGGTGGACTAGGTAACAACTTCATCATCTACTAGTAGGATTGGATGGCTGACCTTGATGTTTAGGAAAATATTTGGAACAAATCATCATGAGGACCTAACCCCAGATGTTGTGTCGCAGATGTCTGTCAACACACTAGCACAGCAGAGGAAGGTGCTGGAGGATGCTGCTTTTGACTCGGACTAAGTTTTTTCCCTCTCACCGTTCTTGGCTTCTATCATTACCCCTTTGTCTTTTGCCCACTAATCAACACGGTCTATTACCCATACTAATCTGATCTTGCTGGAAATATTTACGTCTACAATAATGTTTTTAGTTGTTACAATGTCACATCATTTACCTGGTTTGAGATTGGAGGTCATTTGAGGTTCTTCGTGGTGTTCCATATCAACCCGCTAATTATAATTGATTTGATTTATTTCAATGTCCAAACTTGAAGCTGCCCAGTGCCATTGATGAGGTATTTATCTCTTTATTTGATTGTGGTGACCACTGCGCCAGCAATAATATGTGGGGTGGCTTTACAATCAGTCATTAAAAGTTTTCTACCTACAAATACCCTAATCACAGAGGTTATGCACAGCCCCCAACTGAGTATCATTGGTTGACTGTCCAGAACTCATGCCATTTAACTTGCTAATAGCTACTAAATCTATTTACATGTCCAACACTTCCATGCAACAGGGATGTTTGCTCCTTGTACAACTGGAGGGACAGCTGTGCCAACAAAAGACATGTCGTGTGGATGCGCAATCAACTGCTAAGAGTTTTCTAAATGCAACACTCTCAGTTGAGGAGACCAATCCCAACCTCCAACTGAATAGGTTTGATTGGCAGACAAAGACACGAGAGGCGCATTGGGTATGTGAAGGAGCTGCGGCAGACATTAGAATATGGAAATATATTTCAGTAAATAGCCAAATCAAAGAACATAATTCATAGTCTGGCACCAACATGATATCACAATGTGCTTTTGCAACTCGGTCAAAATACCACTTATCTGAGCAAAGATAATGTGTATCTACAAAATCAAAATACTAGACATAGCTTATCATCTCCTCAAAACTCCATGGCCCTGCTCCTCAGCATCCAAGCCATGAATCATTATGTCACCACCCATTTGTTAAAATTGGGATATCAGTGCAACACTGGAAAAATTATTGTGGCCATTTTTGTCTTTCCCAACGCCAGTCAGACTTGTGAGTTTGACGTAATACACTGATGTTTGCCTTATCTTCACGTCAGGACAGTCTTGCTGTTATTGTATGAATTAAGTACTAGTGTCAGCCTCGTGCATTGCACCTATCATCATGGCAAGGTGCCAAAGTACTCGAGATATATCTACTGTTTCATTTAGGTAATATAGTCAAAGTGTTGTCACATAGTATATCTTCTTCGACCAGTTGCAAATGTCTGTGCATCTGAATGACATATCCAAGTCAGGGATTTTCTGCAAGGGTTTGGTGCCCACATCAGTCATGATCTTGTTGCTTGTCTCGACAATTCTATTTAAAAATTTCACTCTTGCTGCTTTGTTGGAAGGTACATATGAAACTTCAACAGCCATAATTTAACTGCACATATTCACGCAGGGGATGATTTTAGTCGTTGTAGTGTTGCATAAGGGTCTGACACGCATGCATGTGGTGACCTCGATGCTTGTCTCGACAATTACAGATCCGCAGTTCACTTCATTGGCTCCCATGACATCTTTCATTCATAACTCAGTTCATGTATAAAATGTTGTATTGAGGATATGACAACTTGACTGGTTGACTTGAAAATTCATTCTTCCTTCATAGGGTATGGGGACTACATGAACAATTTCATTATAGCCCCTTTGTTGGAAGGTACACGCAAAACTTTATTGGTCATAATTTAACTGCACATATTCACTCAGGGGATTATTGTAGTCGTTGTAGCGTTGCACAAGGGTTCAATGCCCATGTGAATGGCAACCTTGATGCATGTCCTGACAATTATGGATCTGCAGTTCACTTCATTGGCTCCCATGACATATTTCATTCATAACTCAGTTCACATAGAGAATGGTATGTCGAGGATACAACAACTTGACTAGTCGGCTTGAAATTCCTCTTTCCTTCATAAGGTCAAACATGTCAAAGTAAACCTGCCTACAAAATTTATGGCGATTGTGGTGATTGTTGACCATACAGTGGCTCAAAAAAGTGTCCGAATGTTTATGCATTTTCAAGTAATTGAACAATAGCAAGGCAGAGCCAAACAATGACCAAAGGGTATAGGGACATGTCTGAAAGCCCTATATCATGGCTCAAATCTGAGATATATAGCGTGGGAACCCAACCATATATGGGCAAGCTATGGTAATTCTAAATACATGACTCATTCGGACACTTTTTTGACTTTTTATTGAAATCACAAAATCAGACCATTCATACATAATACTCTTAATTAAAGCCATGTCATAATGATAATATGGTATGATTGCAATATTATTTGAATATATAAACCCACATAAGATCATGAAATTCAACATAATCATCATGAAGTCCATCTCCTCTGCTCACAAGGATAATATCCTTGTTCTCTGTACCTCTGGTTTATCTACTTGGCAAATTGCCTCAAAAACTGGTCTTGGAAAGTCTACTATTACTACAGTCATAGAGCAGCACATGCCAGAGAAGGAAAATCATTAAATGGGATGTCCTCCCAAGCTTACTCCACAGAACCACAGAGCTATTGTTCACCAAATTCTATCTGGCAAGGCTTCAAATGCTACCCAAGCTACCAAGTTCATCAATTCCATCATATCCACTCCTGTCTCCACCAAAACTGTCAGAAACACCCTCAAGGCAGCCAATCTTAAGGCTGTAACCAAGAAGAAAAGACCTCCTCTCTGTAGCTCATAGGAAGAGAAGACTGGCCTTTGCTTTGAAGCACCAACATTGGAGTGTGGAAGACTGGAAGAAAGTTATTTGGTCAGATGAAATAAAAATCAATAGAATGGGGTCATATGACCAGGAATATGTGTGGAAAAAGGCAGGAGAACCATTAGGAGAAAGAGAAGTCAAGGGTACACTGAAGTTTGGAGGAGGAAGTATGATGGTATGGGGTTGTATGGGGTGGAATGGTGTGGAGATTCTTTGTGAGGTGGAAGGATAGATGAATGCAGAGCAGTACATCTCTATTCTAGAGGAGTGTCTACTCAAAAGCATACAGGAGTCAGGAATTGATGAAGAAGACATTATCTTTCAACAAGATAATGACCCCAAGTACACCTCAAAACTGGCTACAACATGGTTTGAAGACCATGATATCAATGTTCTATCATGGCCAGCACAGTCTCCAGACCTCAATCTCATTGAACATCTTTGTGAATTACTCAAAAGACTACTTGCTGCCTATCAAGATCCTCCACAGGGGCTATTTAAACTATGGGAGAGAGTTGCAGCAGAGTGGAAAAAGGTTGCTGAAGAGGAGTATCAAAAATTGATAGAAAGTATGCCTAGGATGATTGCAGCAGTTATTAAAGCCAAGGGGGGTAGCACCAAGTACTAGAATCATAGAATAGTCTTGGTTAAATACAAAGTCAAAAAAGTGTCCGAATGAGTCATGTATTTAGAATTACCATAGCTTGCCCATATATGGTCGGGTTCCCACACTATATATCTCAGATTTGAGCCATGATATAGGGCTTTCAGACATGTCCCTATACCATTTGGTCATTGTTTGGTTCTGCCTTGCTATTGTTCAATTACTTGAAAATGCATAAACATTCGGACACTTGTTTGAGCCACTGTATATAGCTAACTAAGAGGTTTTAATTTGTTCACCAGTTCACTGATGCAGAGACCGTTCACCCAGAAGCACACCTTTACCATGAGCCGATAAGGCAAGTGTGCTGGCGAGAGATGACAGACATCGACCTCGGCCAATGAAGATGGACCAATAAAGAAACGGTGTGGCCAGGTGCCACCATTTTTTGCAGACACAAATGAGGTAACACTTGGTCACAAAGGCCTGTCTGATGAGGGGATGGTGGTCACAATTGAAAAGGGATCCAAGAGTGCCCGAATGTTCATAAATCTCAGGAATAAAGATGCCAGAGACATAGGTGGCATGATCAAAAATGATCTCCCAAAGTTCTGGAGGAAGTGTTGCAATGTTTGCACGATGTCTTGCCTTGAGTGCAGAAACAGAGTTTGGGATCATTGTGAGTTGATTTGACTTCAGGATCACTCTATATTAGGACATAGAAATGAACAGGAGAGTCAGAGTGTCACTGACCCTCTATTTTACTCGAGTACCAGCACAATATACGACATATTAGGTGTTATCGTACTGCGCAGTCAAGCAAGGAGCATGACATTCAGTCACCATGGGTCACATGGTCAACTTGAATGTAGCATCCAACTCACCCTATGATATGACACATAGGAGGAGCTGAAAGGCTGGTTGTAGATGCTGCACTGGGTTCACAATCCCTGAGTTACTCTGTGGATATATACACATCTCATCACAACTTGAGCTACTGTTTTGACAAGCACCCCATCCTGTCATTCTGATGTATCAACCATGACAATTGTCATGTAATGGTGATACATAAAATACTGTAGTCAGTCAGTCTCTGGGAGTGATGTATCAGTACAGATCCTCTCCCAGCAGGTACCAGCACTGGCTGATACATCAGTGTAAATCCTCATTTTGTGCCCTAGTACAGCCATTTACAGGGTCACATGTTCGCATTTTTAGTCATCTGCTGTGGGAACTTCTCCACAACACCCAAAACATAGCCCATTTTGGGTATCTCCACAATATGAACCCTTCCCACACCCTCCCCAGTCCATCCTGGCTCACCATCCCACCACAATTAGATACAGCTTGTATGTAAGTAGTATTATAGGTTATATACATATAACAGAACATAATAGACCGCTTTTTCTGTCTATTTTTGTACCAATGCCTGCTACAGGGCCTCTGCAAGTGTGACACAATAGAAAACATATCAAAAACAATTTCGCAATTTTGACCATGTGGTATTGGATTGTTCTAGAGTGTTTATAATATGTTTACAAACATATATGGACCCATCCCAGCCCTCATTTGACCCCCTAGAGCGCCCTATATCAATTATTATACTATACTAACATAAAATATAAAACAGGTTCGCTTCTTTTGACCTTGAGGTATATAGACTTGAAAATATGATCCCCAACATCCCTTCAATAGTATACACAACATATAAGGAGCCTAGGTTAACAGGATCAGTTGCTGTGGTGCTACATGCTTACCCTCTCCTGGTGGTTCATACCCTGGGATTTTTTTCCTGCAGCTCCGGCCCTCCAGGATGGTAGGTTACTTGTTCCTATTGATATTAAGAGTATTCTAGTTATATAGCTACATCAGAATAGCATCAGTATCCCTCTCTACAATGAAATATCTCCTTCTACCTATGCCACTGCATATTTTCGCATTTTTGAGGTTTTTCACTATATTACTCTTGCATAAACTATACAAACTCCTTGTATCTACTTTCTAGTACATATATTGAGTCTTTTCATAGCAAGGATCATACAGAAATATGTCAGAGTATCAATATCAGGATATGATCTCTACTTTTACTGATTAGGAATCAATAGCACATATAGATCATATATGTACTAATCAGACTATGATATAATCCATACATCCCTAGGAACACAGTCCTGATTCCTGGAAAGATCCATTGAGAATGAGAGTCAGGAGAACCCAGTAGATAGGAAAAGGAACGTGGGAAGCTAAAAGTCAAACATTGAAAATATTGTCAACAACTTGGTGTAAGACTGCAATACTAAAGAACTTGACTACACCCACATACCTTACTACACTATATTAGTGTAGTAACAGGATATTGGGGTAGTCCTACATTCGATTAGCTACAGCTTTGACAAATCGTTCGACCTAGATGTTAGTTGAATATAAAGATATTTATATATTTCTCCTTATTCAACTGAGAGAAGGGACCATAGCCCACACATTAATTTTCTCAGCACTTACTTAGTTGTGAATGGATCTTTCTACAATTCAGACTTGAATTCTGGGTATAGAGCCCCGACATATCATCAAGTGTCATGATTAGACAGATGTGTCCCGACATGAGTAGCCTAGATTAACGTTATCAGTAAACACAACAAGTAGAGATATACTCCTTGATATTAATAATCTGACATATTTCTGTATGATCCTTGCTATGAACAGACTCAATATATGTACTAGAAAGTAGATACAAGGAGTTTGTATAGTTTATGCAAGAGTAATATAGTGAAAAACCTCAAAAATGCGAAAATATGCAGTGGCATAGGTAGAAGGAGATATTTCATTGTAGAGAGGGATACTGATGCTATTCTGATGTAGCTATATAACTAGAATACTCTTAATATCAATAGGAACAAGTAACCTACCATCCTGGAGGGCCGGAGCTGCAGGAAAAAAATCCCAGGGTATGAACCACCAGGAGAGGGTAAGCATGTAGCACCACAGCAACTGATCCTGTTAACCTAGGCTCCTTATATGTTGTGTATACTATTGAAGGGATGTTGGGGATCATATTTTCAAGTCTATATACCCCAAGGTCAAAAGAAGCGAACCTGTTTTATATTTTATGTTAGTATAGTATAATAATTGATATAGGGCGCTCTAGGGGGTCAAATGAGGGCTGGGATGGGTCCATATATGTTTGTAAACATATTATAAACACTCTAGAACAATCCAATACCACATGGTCAAAATTGCGAAATTGTTTTTGATATGTTTTCTATTGTGTCACACTTGCAGAGGCCCTGTAGCAGGCATTGGTACAAAAATAGACAGAAAAAGCGGTCTATTATGTTCTGTTATATGTATATAACCTATAATACTACTTACATACAAGCTGTATCTAATTGTGGTGGGATGGTGAGCCAGGATGGACTGGGGAGGGTGTGGGAACATCTGGAAAAAGCAATTTGGCTCGTAGCGCCACACCAACACTACATCGTGCCTGGGAGACTCGATAGCTCGAGGTAGACAGTCATGTAACATCTGCGCAGCAGTAGACATACCCTCGTGTTCCATAGCTGTAGGTAGTCTAGTCTGTCGATGTGAAGGGGCTATGTATAGCAATGCAACTATATGAACAACAGCTGTGCGTGACACAACACTTGTGCTAGTACAAGCGCTCTATAGTATCAAAAATGTGAAAATTAATATAAGGATTAACATAAAACTCGTCAGCGAGCTCCAGAACATCACCATTGATCCACGATACATCTACCTTACTCAATCCAAACCTGGGCATCAGGTGTGCTGCTTGCAGAAGGTCTTGAACACTGATGACAGATGTGAAACACCATTGGTTACGAGTCGAACGTGCAAGTCGATAGAGGTTGGTCGCGGGTTCTGGATCACGCAGAGGTTGAAACTATTTGACATACGCCAATGGATGAGGAAATTTGCCATAGTGAGAGGGTAATTTGAAAATTGCACGTATTTGTGCGAGCTGCAAGCCTGTGGCCAAGGTCTCAACATCATGGGCCAACAACAAGAGTGATTGACATACCATCCAAACCTGTACCACTCTCCCTTAGCTGGTGATCCTTGACCACAAACGCCACATCAAAGTGTGCAGGTGAAGGTGGCTTGCGGCAATCACAATTGGGAATAGCTGGATGAGTGTGGATTTGATTCAGCCGCTTGAGGTCACTAATGTGGTCTTGCCGAGGGAGCAGAAGTAAAACCGATTTAAATAAGTCAAAACGGTCATACTGGCTCGCAGAAATAGAGGAATGGGGAAAGTGATGGGTGAGAAATGTTTGAAGCATGGGGATGAAGTCGACGGCACCAAAATCTGTTTGCAAATGAGACATGGAGACAGCGAGAAACGGGCAGTTCTTGGCAACATGGTAACCATGCAATGCCAGTAGACCTGATGGGATGATGTCTGAATCTGCGAATGTCGGTTCCTCATCCTCATCTTCAAGCAAATCTAAGGCAAGAGATCTGAGTCATTTGTGCAATATAATCTACTTTGCTGCTTGCCTGGTAAGCATCCTTCGCATAGTCAATATGCAAGTGTTTGGGGCTCTCCGAGTTGAAACCATCTGCGCTGCCCAATGCTCGGATGGACTGCACATAGTGGCACATTGAGTGAACCTTGGGTATGTTGAAGTGTTGACAAAGCCCAAGCTCGACAAAGACAGCTTTGTTCATGTGAAACACATCCAGTGCTTCCTGCATCCATGCGAGAGTCGTGTCCGTGTGAGCTTGGTATTGAGCATAGTAAATGAAGTCAAGAACAGCACACGCAGCCCAGAACACACAGGGTTCAACAGCACCAGCAATGACGCCTAAGAAAATGCATTGCATCTCTTTATGCTCTGTGCAAGTCCACTGAGAGACAGTCAAAATTCCCCATTTGAAGTGACGGAGACCGTGAAAATCGGACATGGCTTGAAAATGTGCGTCAAACTCTACGTCAGAGATAATGGTAGAACACCAGCTCACAATGTGGTCTTTGAAAACACCCTTGTGTAACTGGTGTAGAATATCTAGAGTGATACACATGAAAATGTCGGTGTGTGGAAGATGTGCCCAGAACGGAAAATGTATCGCACGAAGACCATGATCTTCAAAAAGGTGAGGGTCTTCGCTGTTTTTATGGCATTCAAGAGTGGCTGGAGTCTCATTGACATCTCGAAGAGGTGAGTCAAAGTGGTCTCCTCGATGTTTCATTCCTACAACACAACGAGGGCAGTGGTTTTCTTTACAGCAGGCGATCAGGCATTTCTCAGGGTGATCTGCAATATACGCCGCGAGAATAGGATGAATGCATCGGATATTCCCATCGGCACAGATCATATCCACTCCGTGATGGCCGGCATCAATAAGTGGCTTTGTCACCAACCGCATGTTTGTTTTGTCGGATGCAAGTATTACCGGAGCAACAACGGCACCTGAAGGTAGGCATTCCTAATATCACAATTAGTTAACATTCAATCTCACACATTTGCCTTGCTTACCTGCATGTTCCACCACCAATCACCTGGTCCACATCTCATCATATACCTGCATCTTCCCTTGCGCATCAGCATAAACTTTCTCGGGAACATATGAAAGGTAATCCTTGAATGCAGGATTACCAATCAAATCACACACACACCTCACAGGGTCGCGCCGCCAAAGTTCGTGTTGTTCCGTTAATGACTTCTGATCTCCACCCACTCGATCTCCTGTTGACATGACTATTTCGCAAGTCCATCCAGGGCCTGTAGGTAGTTTATTGAGTTTCTTTTGGAATGTATAGTTGCTCATAAAGCTTGGCTGAGTGCGATTTTTCGTCTAGGTAGGTGGTTTGGTCGGTGATGGAAGATGGCAAGACATGGCAGAGACTTACAATGGCAAGTTTAAGGAATTCATCAGTGGCAGTCTTGTTGACTCTCTTCAAAAGCCATTCACCAAGGCCCCACTCATCTTCACCATCAAAAGGTGCCCATGGATTTTCCTCCAGACCAATGTCAACCTGAGCCTGCCGAATTTCTTCAAACACAGTCTGTCCGACCCCCAAAACATCTGCGACTGGGCGCAGGAAGACCTTGACAAATCATGTTGGCTCTTCTTTGTCAGCTACCTCCTCCACTCTCACACATTTGGATTGGGGGCCAGAATCTGTCAGAGACTCTGTGTCCTCAGGCTTGTATCTTGATCTGAGTGGAAATTTGTAGTCGACATCTTCGGGTATGTCATATTCATAGTCTGGGGGTGTTAATGTATCTGATGTGCTAGATTGGCTGCCAACCTGTTCAGAACACCTGGTGTTTTGATGCAAAACCATGAGGTCCCATTGTTGGCGACATTTTGGAGTGTTTTGAATGTGTAAGGTTATATCTTTGTGTCGGCTCAGCTCTTTGAGACAGAAATTATAGTGCGGTTTCTGCTTGGTGTATGACATTGTTCAAGACTCGAAGTTCTGAGTGAAGGCACTTAGGTAGATTCTATGTAGACGTCACAACTGTCAGGCAATATTGGTGCACGATGCTAGCAAATAATCATTATCATGTCATCAACATTGACAATCTTTAATCGTGATTGTGTCGTCAACTTTGTTGATCTCTAATCATTATCATGTCATCAACTTTGTGGATCTTTCTTCCTCTAATCGTTATCGTGTCGTCAACTTTGTTGATCTTCATTCGAAGCTGAGACTCACAAGGACAAAGAAAATCGCTAGCACCAGCAGGTCAATAAGGCCCAGGAACGTCAAGAGAAGGCTCGTCAGAAGGCAAGCAAGGCTGCCGAACACGAAGCTTACCAGAATAATACTGGATGCACTCAAGTCTCTGCAGTTCCGTTGGGTAACGATCCTGGGGTTTGTTAGGTTTACATTCAGTAGTTGATTTTAATCACTCTGGCGCTATTAGTTTTTAAGTCAAACTGTGTCAACACCTGCCAGGGACCCAAACTTGGTTGCACAGAAAAGTATAGTGCCGCTCGCGCCACACTGAGTCACATTGGTATGGCCATTTATGACATAGTGCTTTTTCATTGACTAGTAATCCTAGAACACGACTCCACATCTCAACACATTGACACCAGAAAAAGTGGCTGAGCTGTTGCGACTGCGTGAGGCTGTGCTGGCAAAACAAGCAGAGTCCAGTTGCTGCGTTGTCTTGAGGTGAGTACCTGTATTTATTTAAATTGTGCTGAATTTAATAGCAGCCTACTATGTCTACTCACTTGCAGGTGGTCCCCACCCTAGTTCGGGCCTCAACAATACTATGACTTGCTCTCCTAGCCCAACAGACGAGGCCCTATTCGACGAAGCTATTGAAGGCTTGGTCGACTTCAACATGGATGGGGACCAGGGTAATGACTCGCTCATGGCTGACAACAATGACAACTATATTGGTGATGAAGGTAGTAGGTCTCCATCCCCCAGCATCAAATGTGTGGGCAAACATCGCCGTGGAGCATCTGATGGTGATGACAACAACAATGGGCCAGTGCGGAAGGCTGTCAAGATCCAGGAAAGTAAGGGGCAGCTAAAGGCTGCCAATTACAAACCATTTGTTTGCACCACCTTTGGCATTGCGTGGGCCCTCTATCGTGGCCGTCTCTGCATGGAGGGTCCTATGCCTGACCGTATGCAGGAGGTGACATGGGCCAAATTAGTGTGGAAAGAAGCATGCAAGAGGTTACATACTCAAGTTGCTTATGATGCAGAGATTTTAAAAATGGTCAGTGATTTTGATTGTGAATATTCTATCTCTAATGTGCTACCTAGATCACTTTGCGAGGTTCCCACCTTCGTGGCGAAGTCAAGACTAAAGTCCGGCCATATGTCGCAGATGAGTACGGGTTCGAGATGAGCACCAAGCAATCTGTCATTGATCGCAATATCATGCTCGCACGGGAACTCAAGAAGGATTTTGCCTTTGTTTATAAGGCAAGTACCTATTACCTTGCCATGTGTGTTTGCTCAACATGGTCTTTCTAGACTTGCTTCCCAAATGGTAACAAAGGCTTATATGGTGCCAAGATTATCCAGAAGGGGGTCAACACCATATGGTTCCACTGACAAGAAAGACGAAGGTGTGCTATATCCCGAGTTCTACAAACCATTCCCAGAGGTTGGCTTTGCATTGCTTTTGACTGCGGTACCATGTTTTTTGGCCGTGGGGATTGAGTGCTGATTGCCGTCAGATTGAAAGTTGCATCGACGAGTGGAGCAGTGGAGCTCAAATGAACAAGATGTTGTTATGACCAGAGTTCACTGAATGGCAAAGTCTGACAACAACCACTAGGACTCGGTCAAGGATGATGAGAACGGATAGTATTGAGCATGAACGTCTAGGCCTACTACAACAGTAGAGAACGAAGAGGTTAAGTCTAAGGAGTACTTACGCTAACTAACCTACTTATATACATAACATTGAATAGGAGTCTGAAAGAAATCAGCCAATGAGAAAAGAGTCGTACAATACTGCGGATGACTAAGTATGACATCATGATATATAAGCGAATGAGTAAGACGGCAACTAAACAGAAACCCAAGTTCCGACCAGGTTCTTCTTTGGGAAGTGAGATTGTTCTAGCCTGTGGAGTAGGGGAGCCAATCGGAGAAACCACGGGTGATATGTGAAGGGTGAAGGTGTGACAGGGTGAGGAGTCACGTGACCGGTTCGGGTACTGGAAGTAGTCGAAGGAAAACCGAGAAATGAAAAATGGTTCAGTATTAGGAATTCGTGACAATGGGTCCCATTGGGGACACTGTCAGCGCCACCCCACATGCAAGTGATGACGTCATATTCCCACCTAGCACCATCATCCATGAACCTCCTCTTTCCACTGTTACTACAACCTTCTCAGTCCTCCAGCAACAAGCGCTTGCGCACCAACACTTTTCTACTCGACTCTACTGACTCAACATCTTACACCTCCACAGGCTGCTCCAACTAGTTACTCTGACAGTCCCCAGCTATCATCCCTCCCTGCTTTCCTCGACCCTGGTGTCATCTGCACAACCAGCCATAAAGAAGGCCCGTGCATCCAGACACAGTGGTCAGGAACTCATGAGCAGTGCTGCCAGGGCAGCCAAGATCACCCCTGCAGCCGCTGTCATGGGTATGCAGGGTGCCATCAACCGCCTGACTGATGTTCTTGAGAAGTCATTGACTACCCCATCCACGTCTTCTGCACCATCACTCAATTCCAGCACTAACACCATGACCTGTGCCTTGGAGATTATGCGTATCCAAGATGGACATCTGTCGGTCACGGAGAGAGCGACATTGATGCAGATCTTCGGCTGTCAGGGAAATGAGAATACTCTTGCTGCTTACATTTCGCTTGATGGGGACTTTGAGACACATTCTCAATATATCACCTTGCTCATGGCGAAGCTGTAGATATCATGTACCGCTTGTGTTGTGTTTAACATGTCTCATACTCGTAACACCATGTAGTTCCTATATCATGTACCACTCTCATATCATGTCGCTCGTATCATACCGCTCATATCATGTCGCTCGTATCAATGCAATCGATTTCGCACAAGTGCCAGTTACATGTACTCAATGTCGTCTATTCTAGAACCGACCCAATCCATCCTCCTCATCCTCTGATAAAGCCTGGTCTGATAGATCATCATCCAAACCACCTTCAAGAACACTTCTTTCTTGCAAAACTCGCTGATAATCTAACCACATCTGCTCCACAATGTGATCACGAGACGCATGAACATCTGCATCAGCAGGTTCATGGTCATCTGCTACCACCCGTTGCTCCCAGTCTCCAGTGCGCACATCACCAAGGTCATTGTCTGCATCAACAGGGATGGGGCCTTCTGTAGGGTCATGGAAACGGATAAAGTTATGTAGGCTGCACAAAGTGGCAGGGATCTGTGCCTGAACCTCCATAGCATATGACGGCGATAGAAGGAGAATGCGGAAGCAGCCAGTTTCAAGATGCCAAAGATACGTTCAATGACATTGAGTGCTGACGCATGACGCAAGTTGAATAGTTCTTTTTTGTTAGCTGGTCTGTAGGCAAAAATTAGTACACTCCAGCGGCTGAAAAAAGAAAACTCACCTTATGCTTGCGCAGCCCCATTCTGCAAGGTGGTAGCGGACACCACGATATGGTACAAGTAACTCAGGCCATAGAGGAAAGCCAGCATCTGCAAGAAAGTATTGTCCTGGAGGTATGCGAAGGTCATGAGCATGGGCATCTGTGGCCAACCCTTCCCAGCCAGTAAGTGCGTATGTAAAGTTCATCCCAAAGTCACAAGCAAAGAGACAATTTTGAGATACAGATCCCTTGCGATTATGATAAGGCCCACATTCAAACGCACGAGGTGACACGTGAATATGGCTTCTGTCGATGGCCCCAATGGTATCCTTGAAAAATGGCCAGAACTTGGGGTTCTTGTGAATTTTGCATGGAATAGATGCATCCAGCAAGTGAACATATTTCAAATAGAAGGGGGGGGATGGAAAGATAAAGAGCATCCTGCGAAAATAACTATGTACAATGAGATATAGCGCACAATTGAAAATATCACCCTCACCGAGATATAGTCTCATTCAAGCGTTGAAATCTTTCACCAGTGTGTCTGATAGGTAAGCCCATGACTACTGTGTAGAGGAAAATTGCTAGTTGTTCCTCTAGCAAGACGAACTTGGAATCTGTGTGCCCAAGGGTACAAATCTCTGAGATGAGTTCTGCGAAGACATGTGCATGTACACCAAGCTCGCATTATATTCGCTCAGGGTGACCAGTTAATAGTTCTATGACCCACGCTTCTCCCGAGAGAGCAGATGTGTGATATGGTTCTGGATCTTTTGGATAGATTGAGTGTAAGATACTAGTTGTAGCGCTAATCAAGATGCTGATCAAAAGGATCGTGTATCATATGAGACGTTGCTGGACTTCAGGACAACGGGGCATGAATAGCAGGACATCCAATTGAAGATCGATGGGAGCAGGGACTGCTGGTAGAGCATCCATTGTCAGGAATATACAGTACATACATTGTACTAGTACTGCAACGGCTAGATAGTATATTCAAGTTCCGACCCTCGGGACGGCCCAAGCCAACAACCTTTGCACATGATGTTATTTTGCCAGATGTTCGTCAACATCTCGTTGATGAACTGCCAGCTCTAATTCTCATAATGCATAAGGATTTGGGGGTCCCGACGTTATGCATTATGAGATATTGTACTGTATTGACTGTGACGAGACAAGAGACGGTATGCTAGAAATATCATTTCACTCTCTATGAGTCATATCACTATTATACAACTCTCTCACAGGAAGACTGCGCGTTAACGTTCAACCATCATTTAATTACACCTCTACCCCGGTCTATACAGGGAAAGATGTTTGCACATGCAAGGTAGCTGCACCTCACAATGCACCTTACACGCACGTCAGCATATCAATACGATGACTTCTTCATCTATCAACTCACTGCTTGTATACCCTTCCTTCGAATGTTCTGTGGAAAGCGCGTTGTTCTACATTGCCATTTTCCCGAAAAGTTGCTTGCAAATTGGGCCTTTGTAGAGGGCCTGCGGAAGATTAATGTCAGTACCCTGAAATCCATCTACCATTTGCTAGTGGATTGGCTGAAGGAGGCGAGCACGAGTAGTATGCATACCATCATTTAAACTTACTGGAGATCTAAGACAAGCTGACGTGATCCCCGCCAACAAATTTCACTGCCCGAGTGACCAAATCCCACTTCGCTTCCCTTGGACTAATTGAAAGTCATACAGCCTTTGGAATTAATATATTGCCTATCTTTCACCAATCACCTCATCAGATCCTGACATCTTCCAGGTCGCCTCATAAGTTTTTCTCTCATTTATGACAGCCTGTATGATCTTCTTGGTCAACAACGGCGACCATCGTCTTTTTCGGGTTCTTTATCTGGCGGGGTGTGTCGCGTAAAATATTTCCGTCGGTTGATTGCCCGCTTCCCCTTGACAAATACAAACAACTCTATCTCGCTTCCCAGGCGTGTTGAGCACGACGTCATGTTGCAAGTTCACCCAGTTCCCTCTGGCTGCAATGCATAACCACTGACTGGGGATCGGAACATAAGGCCTTTGTTTGCTTTTGCTTCAGAGCGTATTGCGAACTGTGAATGGATAGAGCTCCGTGGCACCACCAGACCTCCACATCAGTCGTGCGCTAAAGAACTCTTCGGCGGCAGCCTCCCTGGAACATCTTGTATGTCCACCGTACAAGCCAGGCAGTCTTCCTCCCCTCACCCAGTCGAAATCCATGGGACATACTGCTGGGTCAGCTGCACAGCTGTGGCAGTATCGATGCCCGCAGTTGTAGGCAAACCAGTTGGTATAGCCAGCACTACAATGAAAGCCAGACCCATCAAGCTTCAAGGCCATCCTGTAGATGTTTCTAGATGAGCTGCTCAGACATTTACAAATTTGAACCCTCACACTGCCTACCTTGTACCAGCTGTCATAAGATAATATGTGAATGGGCACATCATATGAATTAGTACCTATGATCAATTTCCTCTCGGGTTGTGAGTCGTGACTATGCATGATAACAAAATTAATTGGTCAGTTAATTACTCATACAAAAATAAGGCAATCATATCATACAAGTGAGCGGTGCTAAAACAGGCTGGCGAGGCTCAGGCTAGGTGCATTGTCTAGGTACTTCTGGGCCCAAATGGAATCCATATGTATGGTGCCACACTGCAGCATGGCATCAATCAAGGGGGTTTCCTTGCCTGTAATAATCACAACTAGTAGTGTCACAGCTCGGTTCTGGCCGGTCTGGGCTCAGCTGTTACCGATTTCCCAGCAGTTTGGCGATTCCCATGAACCAAGTCACTCATGTGCGACTCAGGTCTAGTCCACAAGGCACCTAAACCGGCACAGATAGCACAAGCCAAGAATGTGGGAACAACGGCTTGAGTCGGCCTCAAGCCAGCTGAAGGGGGTTGGGTGGCAAACTCATTTTCAGGCTTTCTCCAACTTCCCTCTCCCCATTGTCCCCTGCTATTCAGTTGGATTCGCTGTAAGTTACCATGAATAAGGTCCCTGTTCAAGTAGATGGTAGATTTAGGCTGGGAGAGGTTTTAGGATCTGGCTCCTATGGTATGTAGTAATTTATTTGTTCACATGCTGGTTCAGATCCACTTATATTATACCACTTAGCTGTCGTGTATTCTGCACGGAATATCATCAATGACGATCATGTTGCGCTCAAACTCGAAACTGTTGTCGAGCACTCATCTTCTTTGGAGTGTGAATACTGGATCCTGAAACAACTTGAAGGCAGAGTTGGCATCCCCCACACCCTCTGGTTTGGTAGAGAGTCAGCGTATCATGCTCTTGTTCTCGAACTCCTTGGGCCATCGCTCCACCAACTCTTCCTCGCGAACAATCGAAGATTCAGCCTTCTCAATGTTGTGAATCTAGGAGTCCAGTTGGTCAGTCGTTTGGTTTGAGGTCTTTGCAGATAGGTCAACTGACTTTCCTACCTCTCACGTCTTGAATATATTCACTCGCACAATTATGTTCACGGCGACATCAAACCTCACAACATCTTGGTTGGTCTTGGAAATCTGAGGCACACCGCCTTCATCATCGATTTCGGCATCACGAAGATGTACTGGAACACCACAACCAGTGACCATGTGCCATTTCGCCATGGCCAAAGTCTCTCTGGTACTCCTGTGTTTGCCTCAATCAACAACCACTTAGGAGTTGAGCCAGGTTGTCGTGACAATCTTGAGTTGCTCACATACATGTTAATATATTTCTTACGTGGCTCCCTTCCATGGTTAACAAGCGACAACGAGAAGTTGTCCAACTCTACCATACTCGAGTGCAAAGCACATGCCACCATTGCAGATATATGCCATGACATCCCCGTTGAGTTCGCCAACATTCTTATTTACACCCGCTCTCTCGCATTCGCAGAAGATCCTGATTACGATCACCTCCATTCAGTACTTCATGGTCTTTGTGCCACATTGCCTGCACCAGCTACATGCATGTTGGATTTTAGCCAACCTGACGGTCCTGCCATACCTCTATCACCTGATGGTCCTTCCATACCTCCCCCTCTATCACCTGACCAGTGCTGTGTGGCTGAAGCAATGTCACCATGTCCGTCAAAGGTAGTGCGCAGATCGACTCATGTGTGAGTAACATTTGTTCTATATTTTTGAACCGAAGTTTAACTTATTTGCAAGGTTACGCCCGCATAATGGCTCCACATGGTGTGCTACGTCAACTCCACAGCGGAAATCGCGACCGGTTATTGAATAACGCTGCTGTAGACTACTGTACATGGTACATATGGTGTATATGTTATGAATAGCTCAGCCTCAAATATCATCATGTGTAATTGTGCATCGCTTCTCCAGCTTCGTCTAACGCAGAATCGTTGATGTCAAACAATCAGTGGTTGGGCTGGGACCGAGCGTTAGCTTGGTTCGGATGCTGGTGAGATTGCCGCTGGGTGGGCGGGAAACTCGACATGCGGGCTGATTGAAAGACTATTAAGACTGATTTATTGATATACGAAGCTGATAGAGGGTATTCATGTACGGGTAGCTAAATATATAAGCTAAAGCATGATGGCGAACATTATGGTGTGATTGCATTAATCTTGGGAGTGGAGGGCGGGTAAAATATGTGAGTGAGCGAGGAATGAGTAAATGAGCGAAGCGGGATGTGGGATGTAACTGACGAAGAAAAACGAGAAGAAGAATAGAAAGCTACCGCTCAGCTGGACATGTGGTGCCGGTTCCTTCCGTGCATTCAGGAACCGGCACCTTTCACATAGCGTGGTGATTAGTAATTACTAATTGGTCTAGGTCAGGCTATTTTAACCTTCAACGTGCTGCGCAGTGCACAGCCTTCAATCTTTGCGCCATACCATCATGATCTGAACCAGAATATTATGTATCTTGCCATCGTGTTTGCTTGTGCTGATCAAACATGATCAATGATCGCCAAGGTGAGGCCCAGGGCCCAGGGTCTCAGCACTTGTGGTTATTCACCACCAAAGTTCAGGAACCACTTTCACACAGGCCACCACACGAGGCGACTATTGCAATTCAACTTCTTGTGCAAGGTAATTGTTGATTCATCCAACCATCTGCACCTACATGCGAGGAGGCCTCATGGGGGACCTTTGTCTAATGTATCGCTAACCTTTTGGTGGAACTGCCTTGCGATCTGGCTTCAGCAATTGAAACCCTGAAGATGGTAAGCTGTTTGTTTCTCAAGCTATCTATCTGATGGTGATCTAGAAAATCACATGGAGCCAATTTGCCAGATCGCTTGTCCAAAGCATTGCAAGTGCTCGCTCTTTGATGTGACCCCAGTTGGTTCTTGCAAGTGGTTTTTTGGATAGCATGTGCATGTGTGGAGAGCTGCCACCTGGCAAAAAGTGTCTGAGTCACTTCAGGTATGTCCTTTGTTGAGCTGAGATTCCCCCCACCCTCACCTCCACCAAATTATAGTGATTTGTGAGCATTCATTGACGGAAAACAGACGAAGAAGACCAATTGCGCCCATACCCTGTCACTGGTCAGTCATCTGACAGGCGCCAAACTTGTGCGTCACACTTTTACTGTTCGCTTCTCATACACCACATAATTCATATCGCAGCCCTACGGGCTCTCACATGTCAATGACTCAATTCTCGCATCAGCTTTGGCCTATACGACTTCCTTCTCGTGCACATCGTCTGTTCTGGGGTTTCCCAACACATTTTCTGGGGTTTCCTGGGAAGAACAGACTTATATAGACAGACAGTTCTGTCATTCGAAATATTCACCACTACTACCACAAATGGCACCTCATCGACTGAGGGCAGAACAAGGCCTGGGCAGCTGATGTTGATGCTGCCATCCCTGCTGCCTCTACTGCTATTCCCGCTGCGTCCTGCTATCCCCGCTGCATCCACCAGTCCCCGCTATCATCCCTGCTGCCATCCCCACTGCCATCCCTGCTGCTGCTGCTGCAGCAAACACTACCACTCTTCAAAACCCCCGTCAGCGACAACTTCCTGTTAGATACAGAACTACCGATGCAGCTAATGCTGGTCCAGACGAGGGTGAAGTCTTCGACCTTGACAATATTTCGGGGGATGAAGAGGAACCTGGGAAATCTTCCTGCACCCACCGCTGTGGCACCTGCACTGCTCTAATCAAAGCCCACTCCAGACCATCACCAGCACCATTTGGACTGACCCTTTGGCTACCTGGCAACCTCAAGCAGCCTAAAGGGCTGACTTGATATAAGTCATTTCTATCAGATTGATCCCGACACCAAGAGCAAAACCTGCATCCCTTGCGAGTAAGTACCATACCTGCAATCTTTTGTTGTTTCTCATGCCCTTCACCAGAACACTTCATGAAAGCGACACAACGCACAAGGTCATGGTATACGCAGGCTCAACGTCCAGTTCAGCTCCCCTGTATGCATGCTTTCACTCACCACAACGAACTTTATCTGGAAGCAGCAGAGCGTTTTGGCTGGCGCATACAGATTAATGATCTAAACGAACGCCTTGCTGAAGGGTGGTCACTGACGACGATTCGCGAATGGCTCAAGAAATTGCCTTGCACGATGCATTCACTTGGTCCTTCCCCCTAACCAGGGATCTGGTGCCTTGCTGGTAGGAACGAGCTCTCCAGAAGACAGAATTCCAGACTTCACGCTTGACTGAAATGCATCGTCAAATTGTGAAGTTTATTGTTGCCGATGATCAAGTGAGTCGCAGTTCATGCCTACAGCCACCATTAATAGTCGCCCCCAGGTGATAAACATGATTGAATGCCCTGAATTCAGGCGCCTCATCCATCTCCTCCGCCCAGAAATTGGCGAGTCTGGTCTATTTCACCGCACGAAGGCTCGCGAAATGGTCATTGAGCAATGGCAGGAATACTTCCTGGCCTTGAAGCGAGATCTTGCAGTAAGTGCATAGTTGCCAAGCCTCATACGAAGTACCTTATTCCTTTTAGAATGTGCAGGGAAAAGTCTGCTTTACATCTGACCTGTGGTCAGATAAAAAGCTCCGGCCGTTCATGGCTGTCACAGCTCATTGGATTGCCAGGGCCAATCAAGATTTGATGCTCGTGTTAAAGACGGCCCTCATTGCTTTCCACCACGTTCCCGGCAACCACAATGGGCAATCTCTGGGTTCTATGATCCTTTATCTCCTCGATCGTGCAGAAACTGCGGCCAAGGTCGGTACTTATCTCTATCGTGTTGCATGCTCTGATGTTGTTCAGACTGGGCATTTTACTCTCAACAATGCGGGCAACAATCACACCGTGATGCAGGAGTTTTCAAGCCTACTTGGGGAATGCGGGATCAATTTTGATCCTATTGAACACAGGATACCGTGTTTCCCGCACGTGATAAATATATGCATGAAGCATATAATCGATGAATATGCTACTGCCAACTATTCCACTGTGGACGATACATGGACAGTCGAAGACCATATCATCCAGAAAGCCGATTATGTCCAGGCTGTACAAGCTAAGCCTCTCGAGCGAGCCAGGCATATCGTGCGATTGATCCGTGCATCAAACCAGAGGCGCGACAGGTTTTGTGAGACCATCCTTAGGGGTAATGAGGAGGGGTGGTTTCAGGATGACAATGGCAACCCTACACAGCTCCCAGTCATAGAACTCCTCCTCGATGAGCCTACTAGATGGGATTCAGTCTATGTTATGATCAATCGTTTGCAGACACTGCGCCAGGTAAGATTTCACACCGTTTAACATACATCGTAGACTAATACTGACCCAGGTGGTAACCGCCTTTTTTGATGCTTGGGCTCAATGTAGCATATCCAAGAAAAGATTGAGTGAGATGGATTGGCAGTTCCTCCAGGACCTGAAAGTGATCTTGGAAGTAAGTACTAATCTGTTCGAACTTCAAAGCCTGTGATCCAATTTACCATTTCATACCAGGCACCCCACGCCGCCCAGCAAAAACTCTCCAGTGAAGCACTCCCGTGCTGAGCCATGCTGTTCCAACTTTTGAAGAGTTGGTTAATAGCTGGGAGTCTATTGGCCTGCATGCACCTCACTGTAAGCCTTTCATTGACATAGGCTTAACCTGGGCGAGCAAATACACCGACCGGATGGGTGCGACACATGCTTACGCTGTTGCTATGTGTCAGTCCCATCTTTTGTTTTAATAAATATTGATTTCTTCATTACTTTTGTAGTCATTGATCCTGCGATGCGGATGTCTTGGATGGACAGTTGATGGCAGAAGGACTGTGTTGATGATGCAAAGGAATTATATTGAAGCTGGTATGTCTCTGTAGTAAATAAAAACACGACATTGGATTAATTTGTTCTGCAGATGCAGAGCAAGAGAGAGGAAATCTCTAATTCTACGAATTCTCAACCTGTAGTGGTTCCACGAACGGTGCCATGCACACTAGGCTCACATTGCTATGGACTTCCCGTGGCGCATGTGCCACATCACCACGACGGCGGTCAAACGGTAGATCAGGAATTCACGGCATATGCCACGGCTATGCTTAGTCCTCGTGGAACAGACATACTTGCATTTTGGAATGTGAGTCCATTGCCCCTTCAAGTCACCCTTTGTCATTAACCACGAGCTGTTGACTAGGCTTCACGGTCCATGTTCCCAACTATATTCTCGATTGCTATGGACTACGCCCCAGTACAAGCCTCTGCGGTGCCTTGTGAACAGGTATTTTCCTCAAGTAGCGAAACCCATACAAAAAAAGGAATCGCCTCAGCCCCATTTTGATGGAAGCATTACAGATGGTTAAGTTTTTCCTGAAGAAAGAACGGCTTAACTTTATGAAGGGTTGGGCAGCCTCTCAATGGGACATGGAACATGAGGTGGTACACGACCGAGGTTCTAACGAGCAGTTGACAGCCACCGCCAGCACAAATGACACACTTCTCAGAGCCATTGCTGAGGAGGAGTGTGACAATATCGAGGACACTGCTATCATTTACAACAAGTGACACTTACTTCTTAACTGACTTTTTCATCTGCCATCTGCTGTTTCACCTCTCACCTTTGGTTTACAATATCTTGCTCTTTGTTGTGATTTTGATTTCAATGCTTTATTTATTTCTTACCAGATGTGCGGCACAGTGTGCACCTCTGATTTCAACCCTTTACAATTCGCAAGCAATGTCGTGTGAGACTTTGTTCAGCCTCCGATTGACTATTCTTCCCCAGCTACTTTCACCAGCAGTTCCTGGGCTAGGTGGAAGAGTATATGGACTAGGCGCTTCATACTTTCGCTCTTGGCTGGACAGGTGGTTTCTCTATGTATAACAGTGACCAATGTCACGATGACAGAGCTGATTAACAGGAATTGGTCATTGCCGACCACGCAGACGTGGTTCTTGTGCATATTTTGATTTTAGGTACAAGCGAAGGTCCCAGGGTACATGTTACCTTTTTTTGATCTGACATGTAGACTTACTGACCATTGGCTCGCTATACTGCAATCGACTCCGATGGTACCACCTACGTACTGTGCCATAATTTCACTCCCTCTGTCCATCCTTTCACAGTTGTCAATACTGGATCTCTTTCTCTTTGTCGCAGGCATTGTTCTATACAAACATGATCCCCATGCTTTCAAGACATGCGCACTTGCTCTTCTCGCCGGCTGGTGTGAAGACCGACAATATCCTTGGAGTATCTCGGTGCCATACCGCGTTGACGAGTCTAATCTTCCTTTCCCCGACAATGATGAAGACGACAAGGATGATCTGCCAATTCCAGTGCCTGTAACCCTGCCAATTCCAGCTCCCGTATACTTGTCCATCCCAGCGCCTGTATCTGGCTCAATTCCAGCTCCTGTACCTCCACTGATTCCAGTGCCTGTATATGGTGCCACTCCTCATAGCTCCATCATTCGCCGGTCTGGACGTCTTCCAGTACCCACTGAGAAAGGACTGGCCTTCAGGAATAGGCTCGCGCAGGACAAGTCCCGTCTAACGTGTCAACGAGACATCCACACCACTCAAATCAACGGCATTCCTCCCCCACCTGGCAGCTGCACCACACCGGCACCCATCGTCATAACTCCCACTCAAATGTCTAATCCTCCCTAATAACGCGCAGCTTTCCGATATCTTCTTCACGAAGGAAGTACTTTGGACAATGGCTCAGTGACACATCTCGAGGCAGTGTGATGCCTAAGCACACACTTGGGAGCTGAGATCCTCTTCGGCTTTGGTGTTTCTTCTGCTACGTTTTTCTCATTCGGTATGCATAACAAAATCACTCAAAAAACATGCAGGTCTTCGTTGGATCTGTCATGCTAACGTTCTTTACATTGACTTCACAGCACGTCCCACTCCCACACCTCACGACCCACCACTCTCACCAACCAGCTTCTACTCCCGCCCTTTGTGACCAAGCACCTTCAGCATCCAATGCCACCACCTCGATCTCCAAGGTATTCAGACTCTATCCCCTCTTTCAACTGCCCTTTCGGCTCCCCTTCCAGCTCTTTGCCTTGATGTGTAGTGTTTCATAGCCACACTTTGCTCGTGTAGTTCTCGTGGGCGAGAAGTGTAGCACATTTGCTGCTTTCCTTTAGTTTTGGATTAAACGCTAATGAGAGAATCACTCACTTCATCTTGGGGAGACATTAGCGCTAGTTCGATAATCGATTGTAGATCAGTGTGTTGACGACTCGGGTGCCTTCCTTTTCGGCTGTCAAGTGTGATTATTCTAATTTCTAATCTATTTTCAATGTATAGTTTAAAAATATATATTTGAGCCAGTTTTAAGCCCCAAACTTGACTTAACAGTGGTTCCAGAGCTGAGTTGAACCACAAATTATGTAAGCTGAAGTCACATGTCAGCTCAGTTATCGAAAGTCTGGCCCCGGCTTAAACCGGCAATAAGCCAGAGCCGTGGCAACACTAATCACAACCTTCCCAGCGGCATCTAATTGACATGCTATGGCATTCGGGAAGATGGCTGGGTTTTCCCCTGCTCCACTATCACTTCATACCCGCAGCGTTCGTTATGTAGCCAATGGCAGGTGAAGAGGAAAAATGAGGTATCGTTTGAGGGGGCGGGGGGTCGGTTGATCGGTGGCTATGACTGGCTTGGAGGCGGCTAAGGGATGACAAAAATTTGCCACTGATAGGACGAGTTCTCATAAGACGGAAGATCATATGTGAACATGACAAGTTCAGGATTATTCGAGTCGGGTGACGTGGATTACGAGGGAATTAGTGTGAAGCGTGGCCATTCAAATTCTGCCTATGTAGAAGGATGGTTGTGTGCAAGATGGATTGTGACGAAAGGCATACATTTGGGATGGACGAGTAGTTGCTTTTCATTGCCGGAAAACTAGAGTGCCCGAAGCTTGTCCTTCCTGGATTGTACTTGATGCTATGAAGGCTTGATACGTCATGCGCGGGGCTATAATTGGGACGTGTTTACGAGCACTGCTGCATCGAAGCAAACATCTTTCGGAATTGTCGATTTGACAAGGAACATAGGTTTAGTGGATGGTCGGAGAGATAATAAGTGCTTCGCGGTCCTCATATATATGTCCGTCGCACAGCAGGCACTCCACATTCGCGCCTTGGTGTGACACTAGCATCTAAAATTTTCGCATTCCCTGCACGTAAAAGTTTCGTCCTTCCGTTTTTCATCCTTCCGTCGGCAAAAACCATAGGATTATATATGGCTGAAAAGGTCTATCGAGATAAAACAGGCGCAGTGGAGTATCCACAACCACACCTCATCAACACAATTTTTAACCTGTAAACCATATAACAACCACAAAGATTTTCAGGAGATACATGATTCATTACGACACCTCTGCGTTGAGTCGATGCGTCGTCTCGCAGAATATGTCAGTGCTTGCAGTAGCAGGGCGAATGGTTTTCAGGTTTCGAGGCGTTAAACCAAACAAGAAGGCGCACAGCGCAAAACCGAGTACTGCTGGGAAAGGGGGGACATACACAGCTTGAATCGGAGGCCTGAGGCGACAGCTGAGGGCTGCCACAAGTGGCAGAAGCTGTATCTGAAGATCCGATGATGGGGAGGCGGCGGCATGTGTCTAATATAGGCCTATGATAGGATCAAAAGAAGCCCTGCCAAGTACGTGTC